GGATATACAGCGACAATTACCGAGGAATCAGCCTATATGTCTCAGCGAAAATTTTCACTTCCCTTTTATTCAACAGAATTATGACAGTACAGCACAGCAGGACACCCTACACCCTAATTAAGCTGGATTTAGACCGCGGTTGTGCTGACCAGATATTCACGTTAAGAAGGATGTTGGAACATCGCTTCAAATATTTGCAACCCACTTTCACGTGTTTCATCGATTTTGCGGCTGCCTTTGATTCAGTCGATAGAGCGGTGCTTTGGAGGGTGATGGAACGTGATGGTGTTCCAGAGAAAATCATTAGGCTCATAAAGGCATTTTAAGAGCGTTGGCGCAGATCTGTGTATATGGGGAATTAACAGACTCCTTCGAAATAAGATCAGGTGTCCGTCAGGGCTGCGTCCTTTCCCGCACAATATTCAACTATGCGATAGACTGGGTAATGGACACCGCTTGTCGACACTCAAAGGGTGTCCAAATCAGTCCAGAGATCTTGAATACGTTGATGATGTAGTCCTTTTTGCTGACAGTTACGACTAAATACAAATAATGCTAAATAACTGCAGCAAGAATAGTGGTTAATATACACAAAACGAAAGTCTTTTCGTCTTATGTGCAAGTAGCTGATAAAATGCCTTTTTTAAATTCATTGCCGGTCGAGGAAATGCCCGATTTTAAATATCTTTGGTCCTCTAATACCAAATGACCAGGCAAAAGACGGTATTACAATCCGGATCACGGCAGCTAGAAATGTATTCTTCCGATTGACTAAACCTTCATGGAGCCGTCGTGAAATTACCACAAAAACCAAAGTCTGCATCTATGTAGCCATCATTCGTTCGATCTTCGATTTTGCTTTCCTTCTTCCTAAATGTTTTCTATATGCTCTGGAGACATGGCCAGTGAGAGTGGAGGATATCAAGTGCAGGATATCTGCCTTTGACCACTCTTGCCTAAGGTACATTTTACAGGTCGAGAGGACAAAATATCACATGATCGCATCCACCTTCGTTCAAATACCACTTGCATTAATAATGATATAACAGAATTTCGCCTTAGCTGGTTACGGCACGTTCTCTGTCGTCCACCACAGAAGTTGACACATATTTCGTCATTTGTTAAACCCTATGTCTAAGGTGAAGTGAAGCTAGGTCCAATCAAGACCTGGACTTATACGGTCAGAAAAGATTAAATGTGCTAAAAAAAGTGCCAGACTTATTACGAAGATCAAATTTATGTTTTAGCGGAGTCGAAGCAGATCAATCAATAAACATTATGAAAATTCACATTATGAAAATTTCAAAAAATCCTGTCAAAACGAGAAACGACAAAAAAAAGGACTTACCAATTTTTCGGTAGTATTATTTTGCTTTCCTTCTTCCTAAATATGTTTTAAGAGTTCTTAAAACGAAACTTATATTTCTTTTTTTCGTATAAAGAATTAGAATATCTGTTAAGGGTTAAGTGTAAACTACTTCTTTGAAGATTAAAGGGAAAAATTTGACCTATTGCAAAATTATTTTAAAATCATTAAAAATTGATAAGCGATTTATAAAAATAGCCACCTCTCTTGGAGATATTTCTTGATCCATAGTTAATTAGTTACAACCAAAAAAACTTTGAAATGGAGAAATAAATTAAAGCACTACTAAAAGCGACTGAAAAGAAGTCGAGGAGTAGATTAGTTTAAAAGAAATCGAACAACCAGACCTTTAGAGCAATTCATCTTTCTCCTATCTTTTTTTCTTCGTATAGTGTAAAAATCTATACAAACTGGTGCAACTATATTTTATGACATTTGAAGTTTGTTGTAAACATAAAACATAAAAATTTCAAATTTGGAACTGAAGATTCCATCTCGAAAATACCAAGAAATACGATTGGAGTACAACGAAGATTTCATGTCGGTTGGTATTTGTGCTAAGGCAGTTTCCCGAATTGCAAATGTATGAACTTGATTTACGAGTGCATAGCATTGCAATCCATTCTTTTCGAATAAATTTGCTGTTGATCCAATTTCATTTTTTAAAACAAATACGGAAGCGACCTTTATATTCTCAATATCTGACCATTATTAGAATTATAAGTAAATCGCTTAATGTTCTCAATAAGGACATGTTTTATGAGATTATACGGCAGTAAGTAATATTACAATTCAACCCAGTTAAATCGGAAATGGAACTCAACTTGTAAAAAAGATTAAATGTTCTTGCACAGCATTTCATTAGAAAAAAATTCAATAGAAAACTCAGCAATGAAAGACAAATCCTACAAAAAGAAATAGATATAAAGTCATCATCAGATGTATCAAACATCATCATTAAATGCATCATTTATTTTAATATTCAAAAAAAATAGAATAATATAAATATATGTATATATAAATGTCCTAACTAACAGTATATTAAAATAAATGATAATTGCTGTCATTTCCAAAATACTTTGTAGAATTATTCGACAATAAAATTTCAATATTTAAGAAGAAAACAAGCGTAACAAATACTTGAAAGAAAATTACGGTTTAAAAAAGCGAACAAAAGGAAATGCAGCTACCTGCAACTCAATCAATAACCGCCATAAAATCACACTTATTAGGATTAAAAGATCAGAAAAATAAAAAATAAAAATATATATATTTTCAAAGAATTATTTTAATCTTACTTAAACCTCTACTTATTGAATACGGCTGAAATATGTTGAGAACTTTATACTTATTAAAAGACAAAAACACAAACCAATAATTCAGAAACTAATTTCTAGAAAAATTTAAACTCTCAGAAAGATAAAGCTAACGTTATACACCAAATGTATTAAAATTAAGGAAATTCATTAAAATTCATTATTTTTTCTCAAATGTATTAAAATTAAAATTAAAATTTTATAAAAATTTTTTATTTTTTCTTTGAAGTAAACTTTTTGGCTTTAATCGGCGATTTTCGAGCTGCCTGCAAGCGAATTTGATATTGTGTTTCACGTATAAAGAACAGAATAAATCAGTTAATGACAAAAAATTTTTAATAATTTAATAAGCCAACAGAAAATTTTTTGACGCGCCATTGTTGCCTTAGCATCTGACTTGGAGACAAAACAGATCAACTTTTAGGCGTACAAAAATTAAAAAATTTGATAAAAAACTTGATAAAAATAACGTACTTTGTAAGTACTTCCTCGATGAACAATCCCTTCATGTTCTTGCTTTTCTTTGTGCAATTTGGTTAAATCTTCGAGAAAATCGTCTAATTCAGACTAAAATTAAGTAATATTTTAAATAAAATATGATTTAAATATTTTTTACATCATTTAACTCGTAGACGACCATTCAAATATTTGATGTAGAAAAACATAAAATGGACAAACTTTCAACTCTGTATTTCGAATTGACATTTTTTTGTAATGATATGCAGCTGAATGAATGTTAGTGAAGACTGAATGTAGTGAAAGTAGATGAGCATACAACGGTAAAGATTCTATTAAAATTCGCACCGATTTATCACTGAAAGGAAGTCTAGAAATGCAGTAAGAAATGCATTCAGCCAAACGTTCATCCGTTACACCATCTCTAAAACGGAACCTTACTTATCATATTTATCATACAAGAGTATTTCTAGTTTACAATATATATAATATACATACATATACATATATATATTTTTATATAATACAAGACTTTATTTATTAAAAATAAAATTCGCATATTATTTCTGGTGGTGATCGAATATTACTTTTAATTATATAAAATTACATATACTATTCTATTATATAAAAAAATTTCATCCCACTATCAGAAAAATTAAACCTAAAGTACTTTATAAAATTTAAATATTTTGTTATCTGAAATTCTATTTTTAAAATATGAATATAACAATTTAAAAAATATGAAAACCAACTGGCTGGTGGTGCTTTGCAATCGTTGACAAAGTTTTTCCACTAAACTATCTGCTTGTTTATCTTTTTTGATAAATGAAAGTAATAGTCTGAAGTAAAAAGTAAAAATAAAACTAAAGGAATTTATAATTGTTAAAAAATTTAAGATTTATCGAAAAAAAGAATCAATAGTGAGAAAAGACCTCATTATTTTGCAGTAATCGTCAACTGTAATAGTTTCATCCGAAGAAAGTCGTGAAATCATATCAGGCATAAGATTATACATCAAATTACCCTGAAACTTCATGGTTATTTTAGCTTGAAAATGTAATAAGTATAGACACGAATATAAATAAATAATGAATAAACTATATACATAAATATATATTCAAAAATAGAATAATGAAAGTGAAAAAGTATTAGAAACATTAAAAATAAATAAAAATATAATAAAAAATAAATAAAATAAAGCAAATGATGCAAAAAATTCGCAATCAAAAGTCTTCCATTATAAATAAGCATTTTGAAATCCATAGTAGTCGATAACAAACCTTTTTAGAAAGTTCTGAAAAAAAGAATTTTGATAAATTGGCTACATTAATACTGCTGTCGATAATACATTTTGATAAATCAGCAACAGTTCCTCTCACCTTGACCATATCGTTTAAGATCAAATATGATAAAACAATAATACATGTTTGTCGAACAAATTCATCGGGGTCATCAATCCTTGAAAATTAAAGAAAATTGTCAAAGAAAACATTATGAAAGAAAAATCAAAATAAATAGTGAAACAACATAATAAGAAAACATAATAAAAATAATAAAAATAAGAAAATAAAAACTTTTAGAAATTCAATATATAAATAGAAAATGTTACCTCTCATAAATGAATGAATTATGCTGTTCAATAAGGTTAGGAAATCGTGAACACAAATCACCTGCAGCAACTAAAAGATTACTTCGACATTCAGCACTCGGCGATCGAGATAAGAAATGCATAAAAATTGGCATAAACTTTGTACAAAACCTTAAGCTGCAATAGCTTTGTAAACTGAATATCGATTTGAATTTGTAAATTATGAAATGTGCATAATTTCGTTATGTAATAATAATAATATTAATTGTTTTAATCGTAAAAATTAACAGTTAAAGAATTTCAGTCATAAAAATAAATAAAAAAATAAATATCGAGTGTCAAACAAATAAGGAGAAAATATAGGAGAAAATTTATAGGAGAAATTTTCATTTGCAATCTTAAATCTGCCAAAAATTTTCTTTAACCGAAATAAAGCAAAATATGGGATTAAATTTTAAAAAAACTCTGAAAAATCAAACCAAAAATCATAAAAGCAGAATAATTAGCATCATAAAACCTGAATATACTACCTCAAAAGCATCACTTTAGATATGGACAAAATAGCAGCCGATCGCAGTCTTTCACTACAAGATGCCTGCGGTAACTTCAGTATACATACTACAAATGGAATAAGTCGGCTAAGAAGTTTTCCTTTTCGCAAAACACCGGTTTCGCACATAAGATGAGATTTCTGAATAATCCGTTCTTCTTCTGATGTTCCTGAAACATATTTTTATCTAAATTAATGATTTGCACCCGCCAATAAGTGGAGAAGGCAAAAAGTTCAAAAAACCTCAAAAATTTTCCAATGAACATAAAGAAATTTACTACATACACACAACTGCACAATGATCAAAATAGCATTTTACCGTAGAATTGAAATAAAATCTTATTTTATTCCATCTTCGTCTTAATTTCATTCTATCATTTTAAAAACAATGAATGTTTTGAAAAAATTTTTCTATCCTAGCAATTTCTTAGTAAAATTATAGTAAAAATTTAATCCGAAAATCAACCCGTCAGTCCCAGTCGATCCTCCTCTTCCTGTTCATTGACTTCAAAATACCCTTTGCGCTCTATTGAATCTTGCTCTAGACTAGTCGGTTCAACATCTTCAGGGAAATCCTGAATTCCTGCTACGATTTTTTTCAGCGCTGTTATCTCGCCAGCTCCTACTCTACGAACCGCATGAATTAATTCATTTTTTCGTTTCAAATCTGCCACGAACGACACATCAATATGGATAAGAGTTTTCAAGGCAACCTGGAAAAAATGCAACGAAATTTAAAGACTGAAGTATTCAACCAGACTAAAATAGATATAAACAGATATAAACTCCACAAACTATAATAATTATAAAGTTATCATATAAAAATCATCAATAATTATTCAATAACAATTGAATTGGTGAATCGGCCAATTCATAAAGTGACAAACCCAGAAGGAAGGCATATGGCATATACAATATTCTAAACGTTTTAAATCGCCCAAAACGTTAAAAATGAGCTGAAGAAATATACCTGCCCGGTAAAAGCACATAAACGTTCTGCAACTATTTCCCAAGTTAATAGCTCTCTTTCTTTTTCTCTTTCCATTATTTCTCGTAAACTTCGAAATATTTCTACCGTTTCCATCTCTCCTACAACACTTTCTTGGGGATTTGCATTTTCATATTCATTTTCAGTATCATTAGGTTCTATAAGCCATGCTTCTTCCATTGATATTAAATCTTCATATTCATCGATGAGAACATCACTTGTGGTTAAATTCCTGCAATTTCAAATTTAGTAAGAAAATCTGGAAGAATAGAATAAAAAAATTATTGCATTATTATGCCAAAATTAAAAGGTTTATAAAAATAAAAAAGCCAAAAGCTAATTCTAGACCAATTGGAAAGTAATTTAGGAAAGGAAAACAGGCTTTTTCAGGTTTCTCTCTTTTATGATAATATAAAATGTAATGTGCTTATTCAAAAAATTCACTTTAAACTAAGACGACTGATATCAAAAAATTTCTGATCTTCAACAATGAATAAAGCAAGCTGATGCTTGGTAAGGCAAAAAATTTTATGTGCAATAGATCGAATAATGAGTGATGGCTTTGCACAGATATAGAATATCATGTTCAATCCTTTTTCCATTACGCGAATCCAGTTGTAGTTTTCATCCATAAAATCTTAAAGAATGACAATTACAGGCTTTTTCAATAAAAAAATGCATAATTTCAGATGTAAGCAAATAGAGAGAAAACATAAAGAAAATACATAAAGAAAATATGAAAAAAATAAGATTTTAAATTATTCGATAGGAATGTTTTAAATTTATGCACATTTTTAAAAAATTTTGCTTCACCAATGAAGAATTCGACCTAAAAAAAGTGGACTATTTCTTTTATTTTTACTATAAAAATTCGAAAAAAATTAGGAAAAAACTCACTTTGCGTAAGAATTGCACAAACACATTGCATAATTCGATGACTATCTAACAATCGAAAAGGCTGCTCGGTTATTTCGGCAGAATTTTTTAAACTAGGTGAATTGCCAAGCATGGAGATTGCATTAAAAAACTCAGCAGCAACGGTTCCATCATCTCCTTCGAAGAAACCTTTTCTACGAGACAATTCGACGAAAAAGTCGAAGCGATTTCTCATGAAAGGCTTATTGGCTCTAAAAATCATAAAATGTGATCGAAAATGTGAGCATATAAGTGTAATAAAATAAACATATCCAGCTTTCTTAGATTCAACTCTTATTCTACAATCTGTTGGTTTTTAAAAAAGTTTAAATTTAAGAAATCCCATCGTTTATGAAAAGTCACTCAAAATAATCAGGAATAGAATAAAAATTCTAACCTACAAACAATGGAAAAAAGGCGCAAAGCTGCGATACGCAATGCACCTTCCGTTTGAAAAAGAACAGAAGCCAAAGCATCCAATATGTCCGAAGACAACATTTCGTCTCGAATCATTTGGTACAAAGCCTGTCTCAAATATTACCATAAATTAAAATATTATCATATGCAAACTAAGATATATAATTATCAAACTTAGGATAGAACAATCAAGATACAAAATAAACCTCTTCAACAGATATACGTTCCTCTTCTGGAACATTTAGAATTATTCTTATGAGATTTTCAGCAGTTTTCTTGGCACATATTTCTCTATTCCTTAACAATACAACTCGAAATAAAAAAGAAAATCGGTGAAACAATGTTCAAATTATTATTATAAAAGCACTCTACTAAAAAAATATAAAAAAAGCAAACTGTAAAGTAAGTAAAAGTAAAATTGTGTATCCAACTGTGTATCTAAATTGTGTATCCAATATTTTTAAATATTTTGAATATTTTGAACTAGAAAAATATTGCTGAGAATAGAAAATAACACATTTTTATAAAATAAGGTTTCATTATATAAATATTGAATGGTGAAATGGTCAGAATTTTTGATACGGCGTCCGCATCCTTCGACACTCCCTGATACTCTCAGCCTTGTGGTACATTCGATAAATATATAAATTCAGTGCAGTAAAATGACTTTAAGAAGATTAAGAATTGGATATTCTCGTAAGATAAGTAAGTAATTACTCGAATCCTGTCAAGGAAAACAAGACATTGTCCGTCGGCATTCTCTATGCGCGACGTTTTAACCATGGCTGCTTGGAACATCAGAATGTTTATGGACGTTACAAGCCGATCACTCTTCTGTATACTCTTTCTAAATACTGCACTGATGTCACCTATTGTCGGAGATCCATATTCCTAACTTGGCTCCCAGCAGAGGTACTGGTTTTAGCATTATGCTGCACCGGACAACTCGGGACGAAATAGCATTGTCACGTCTGAAAAAACTCCATTCGCACTGATTGAGTGGAAACCAGTAAACAACCGTACCTATGCTCTATGCTCATTTCAGAGTAAAATTCTGCAACATTTCGGTCATCAATATATATGCTCCAACTTCAGGTGATCACGATAAGGATAAGTTCTACGCGGAATTTCAACTATTAACAATACTCTACCGAGAGGTGACATGGTTAAAATGGGGAAGGAATTGAAATACGCGCGTAGATTATGATGAACTCGATAACTGGCAAATATGGTATCGGGATCTGGTGCACCAATTCAGAAAATCTTCGCTTTGCCGAACACCAAGAATTTTACTAATACGTGCTTTCGGTATTGGAGAACATAACACATCGGAGATCACGTGCAACTCTCCAGATAACCAACATTTCAACCAGACTGATTATATAATTTAATCAGTTGCCGTTGAAGAACTCCATGCTAGATAATTCCAATCATGCGTGAGACTGATGCCGGTAATTTTCATGGATCAGACCATGTTATGGTTCAAGCCACGATTCACATAGAACTGATAACTGGCAATGTGTTCCAAGATTTTTAAACTGTAAACTAAAAGATTTACGACATTTTTAAAAAGAATCGCAGCATCTCAATAAATATAAATATCTTTAGAACAGGAGGTGAATACTGCCCCTAACTAAAAGTCTTCAACCACTTCCAAATTAGGATATACTAATAGCAAATTCCTAATTGAGAAGCAACTATCCAACTGAAAAGGCTGCCAAAGCATGAATGTCTGGAGATCCTGACTATCGGGTGCTTCGAAGAATTACAGCAGCAAGGCGAGACAGAAATCGTTATTGAAGTGATATGGCCTTGATAATGGAGAGGGCGGCTCGGATAGATGATAATAACAAACTGTTTCGCCTTTTCCGCGAAGCAACTATAACTCGGAGTCAGTGATACGGGATATTAATGGAGTGCCTATTAAAGTTATTAGGAAAGAATTTTTTGAGGCCAAAATTAACAACGATGCACCATCTGTTGTTCCGAATATAACTAAATTGCCCGTCGAACCTTACAACTATGAGCCGCCAACATAAAAGGAAATAATCTCTGTAATCCATAAGCTCAAGGCCAATAAAACTCTCGGAAAAGATGATCTTAGGGGCCAAACTCTTCAAATGTTGTCCAATCGTTAATAATTCACCTGCAACAAATGTATTCTCTAGTATGGCAAAAAGAAATAATATCAGAAAACTGGAGCAAAGAAATCTTGCTCGCAATTTCTAAAAAAGGTGACAGGAAGTATTGCGATAATTACCGAGGAATTAGCCTACTCGACATCTCCGAAAAAATTTTCGTTTCCCTTCTGCTAAATAGACTCATGGCAATAAAATGGTAGTATGCGTCCTAACCAAGCTGGATTTAGACTGGGACGCGATTGTGCTAACCAGATATTTAAGCGATATCTATGAAGGATACTGGAACATTGCTTCAAATATTAGCAACCCACCGTCACTTGCTTTATCGATTTTGCAGCTGCCTTCGATTCGATTGATAGAGTAGCGCTCTGGAAATTGATGGAATGTGACGGTGTCCCAGAGAAGATCATTCGACTGATAAAGGCATTTTACCAGCATACCCTGGCTATATATATGGGGAAGACTCCTTCGAAATAAGAACTGGCGTCCGTTAGGGCTGCATCTTTTCCCCACAATATGACTATGCAATAGACTGGGTAATGGACACCGCTTGTCGGCACTCAAGAGGTGTCCAAATCAGTCTAGAGCATCATAAGAGATCTTGAATACGCTGATGATGTAATCTTTTTTAACAGTTATGACGAAATGCAAATAATGTTAAATAATGTGTCAACAATTGCAGCGAGAATTGGACTCAAAATCAATGTAAATAAAACGAAAGTGTTTGCGTCTTTCATATAAGAAGCTGATAAAATACTTATTTTTATCAATTTAAATCGCTGGCTAAGGAAATGTCAGATTTTAAATATTTTACTCTGATCCACTCTGATTCCGAATGGCAAAATGAAAGAACTTAAAACTTGGATCATGAATGGAATGCGTTAGTTAGGATGCGTTTTTTCGGTTGGCTAAACTTTTATGAAATCGGGAAATCACAAAATGAAAGTACGCGTTTTGTTCGGCCTTCCTATATGGCTATGAGACATGGCCAATATTAAGAGGTTATCTTTAAACATTCATGCCTAAGATATATTTTACGGGTCCGCCGGGTGGATAAAATCTCACATAATTGTATCCACTTACATTAACAGCATCACAGCCACGGCTGGTTAAGGCATTTTTCTCGTGGTCCACCAAAGAATTGACATATTATCGTTATTTACTGTGACGACGTCAAAAGCAAGGTGGAAGGATCAATCAAGATCTGAACTGATATAATCAGGCAAATTTTTTGAACGTATAAATGGGTCAGTGAACTTGCACGATGGAAAAAGGAACGGCTTCTATTACTATCCGAGTACAACTTGGAGAGGTTTTACTCTTATAGCCAAGGGAGCCAGTAATAGTTAGAAGAATAGAACACTCGCACTCCTACAGAAAAAAGATGTCAAAAATATCATTGATTTGATAAGTTTGGCCTGATTTAAAACCGTAAAATGTAGTGAATAACCATTACTTATTAGCAGAAATAAATAAATCAGCTGCTGCTTTAATTATAATTTCTTTAGCTGCACTGTCGTATCGCCAAATTGCGCGAAAAAATTCACGTACAGCATTTTCGGAATTTCGAATCGAAAATTTATTTGTCTCAACAATAAAACCGATGATTTCAGCTAGTTCACTAGCTTGGCTCGATGCAATCGACCGTAATATAGTGGACAGACATTTTTCCATTTCCAATGCGAAGAATAAGGCATCCTAAAAAATTAGAGAATACCCGAATACCCGAAATACCCGAAATCGGCAAATATGGCTGAACCATATAAACACTATTGTCATAAAAATAAACCTTTAGAACAATGAAAAAAATACCTGAACGCAATTTAATTTGTTATTTAGTTCTTCCATACTTTTTTTATATTCTATAACTTGATCTTCTTCTCGCAACATTTCTTCATCGTTATTAATCCTCTTACTAACATGGCCTTCTGAAATTCTTTTCTTCAAGCGTTTTTAATCCAGTGATGGAAAAGAAAATTTTGTCGAAAAAAAGAGCATGAAATATAAATATTTACCTAAATAATATGCATTAAGTGTTTCAAAAATCTGCCTGGCAAGTTCATCATCACTTTGATTTCTAAAATTTAAAATGAACATGTATGAAATAAATATGCTAAATAAATATGAAATATGCTAAAAACTAAAGAGAAAGGCAATTCGAAAAACTAAAGTCATTTTTAAATATGATGATATTTAATGCCTAAATTTCAAAAAATTTATTTTACTGGTAAATAGAAAAATATTCTAGAATAGCTTTAAACATCTTTTAAAACCAATTATTTAAGTTCTCAAATTTCGAACCTAGCAACAGAAGGAAGTTGACCTGCCATAGCAATCATTACGAATATTTCGACAGCACCACGACGAGTTTTATCATTAGGTAAAAGATAGAGAATTTTTGAAATTAATCTGTAAGAAAAAAAAACCGTCAACAAAAAACCCAAGAAATACATAGAAATAAGAACTGATTAACTCTTCCAGAGGTTTGTTACCACCAATAACAACACCTTTCGACCACCCAAGCGCGGCCAATAACACGTCACAATCTCTAGCATTTGTTTCATCGCTTAGTGAATGGCGTTGCGGATCCATGTCTGCAACTATAAATTTAAAAACAGTGGTAACCACTATATAATATAGTACAGAGTTTAAAATATTACCAAATATTTTTTGACTTTCCTTTGTTTTCTTTTGTATAAGATCATTACTTTGATTTTTCACCAGATTTTCTCCATCATCTTCAACATATAAATCGGGCCGTCCATGTTCAAGTTTAATGGAATATTTTATCCAGTCATAAATGTCATCTTTTATAGTAGTCCATATTTCAAGTGCTTGTCGGACGCATTCATGTTCTCAAAATTAAAAAAGATTAAATAACGATTACAATTGAATTAAAATGATCCTATTCTCTCTATTTCATTCATTTTATACCCTATAAAACAACAAAAACTGGAAAACAAAATCAAGGACCAATAAAAAGATTCAGAATTCAATTTATTTCAAAATTCACCTTTAAATGGTAAGGAATCAAAAAATTTATTGTATAAGAAGCTATTCTTTGAAAAGTGGAAAAAATGAAACCTGGATTAGATTTTTTGCACTGAATTCTTTTCAGTTTCAGATAACAAAACAATGCGGACAAATCATCGGCACATAACTGAAAAATCAAAGTTACCGTTTATTTCCAGCACTTTCAGTTCCAGTAAAATTTTTAGCAAAAAAAGTAAAATCCAAAATGAAACCGAATAAAAAACAAATGAGCAAAATAATTTTTGACAGATATTTATAAAAATAAAGAAAATAAAAAAAACTTTTAGTTAAATTAAATTTAAAAAAAAATTCATTACTGATGGCCCAAATGGATTATATTGCAATACTGCAGTCAAGAAAATGGCCGCATTTTTTCGAACGTTGATAGACTTATCAATCAATCGGCTACAAGCATCTCGAATCAAACCACCATTAATAAATGCCAAAGGTATTTGAAAATTACGAGCAAGACGAGTCCACAGTTGCAAGACTCGTGATCTAACTATAGCATTGATATCAACAATATGATCCTTAATAAGCACAATAAGATATAACAACAAAACCGGAAATATTTAAATAATATATAACGGAACACATATTGGTTTATTGCTGAACTAACATTTCCAAATTCCAAGCGTTTCTTATTATGGTTTCTTATTGATTCTATTAATGAACAAAAAAATTTTTTAGAAAATACAATTATAACTCAAAAGAAATATTCAAATCTGAGCAATATAAAATGTAATTGAATAAAAGCAATTATTAATAAATTAGATAGTAAATTTGAATAATTCTTTTATTATTATTAATTTGCACAGCAATAGTAAATTAATTGAATAATTCTTTTATTATTATTAATTTGCACAGCAATAATGAAATTACGAAAAATCAAGATAAAAAAAAACAATCGAAAAATAATAGCCTGGAAATAATAAAAAAAAAATACCTGAAGACGTAGCAACAATTTATCTCGTGCCTTTCTACGACTACCTTCGGGTAAATTTCCACTATAAACTTTAATTACAATCTCAGTAAATGCAGTTAACACGGCACAGCGAAGGGTAGCTGGCTGAAGAAGAATGAAAAATAACGAATGAGAAATAAAAGAATTGATATATCGAAGAAAGGAAAAAAGAAAATAAATATTTAAAAGGATTAAAAATTCGAAACCTATGAGAAAAAATTGAACCAACATCATCAGAAAGCAAGGATACGATATTCACTATATGTTTGTTCAATAATATGGGTTTCCTTTCTGCTAATGATGTTATAAATAATGCGAATGGTCGAGCCGAGACATCAGCGCGAGCAAAATCTGACTTCGAAAGGCGACCTGGAATTAAACACCGTAATGATGCGGGCTGATTATAATTAAATGAAATAGCAGATCGTTTTCAATAAAAAAGAATAAATCTTTGCCAAAAATAATGCCATCGAAATTTATAGTTCAACTGCACCTAATGCTGTTAACATGGAAAGAAAAAGAGGATCCATATCATCATTTCTGGAAACATCATCGATCGCTTCGACAAAAGGAGAATGCAAACAAGATGGCGCTGCCAGATAGTCGAGTCGTTTCATAAGTAAAATAAGCCTAGACCCGATTTCTAAAAAGAAACAATTAAGGACTTTAAGAATACCTGCTTATACAACAAATATAATAGAGAGATACTTGGAAACTGATCGAAATCGACGCACAATACTCGCAAACATTTAAAAATCTTGTGAAGCCATTTTCTTTCAGAAACTTTTCCTAATTCTGGATTTTCTAATAATTTGTAAGCAAATTCCTTGACAGTACTGAAATAAAAGCAATTTACCAATCAAAAATTGCGAGGGAAGCACAGAGCACTATATGAAAAAGCACATTTACCAAGCGTACCGTAAAAAATTAGGACAAGCAACAGAAGGATGCCACAGAAAACGAATGGCTGCAATTCGCCTCCTGTCTTCTATATGTTCATTTGAATTTGAAGTTAAAGAGAGAGCAGAATATAATATGTCAACAGTGTTCTCCCGTTCCATCATCCAGCTATCCATGAATGCATCATCTCCTTTTTCAAACAATACTTTGCGACCTTTTCGATTGCCAGCGTTTGCCACACGTAGCTGTCTAAGTACAAAATAAATTCAAATCGAAATAAATTTTAAAAAACTGCTGGGACCAATAAAAAAACTGAAAATGAAAGAAATTAAACAAAAAATTACTTGTTAATAGATTCCTTTTCGAAAATACAACCAAGACGAGTTAGTAAATAAGTATAGTATAGAAATGCCCGACAGTGAATGTCCCTTTCCTTTGCAAATTCTTCATTATGCGTTGGGATATTTTCCTCTTCAAAGACTGCTTCGTGTATTGATGAAGCTTCGCCCAACAAAGGAGGCAATAAAGTTTTAAAACTGGAGAGCAATTGTCGCAAACCTAAAATTTTCCAACTGTTTCCAAAAATATTTAAAATAATAATATACTTCAATTTTTGCGCTTCAATATGGTAGGCATGGATAATCTTTTCTTTTTTTAGCCAAGGTTTTCGAAGGTTAATCGCATAATATATCAGACGATAACAATTACCAGATATCAAAAGTGGAAGAAGTTGAGAACGAAGACGCCACGGCTCAGATTCCGATATGCATCTATAATTGCAAATGAAATCTTATAATTTGAATAAAAAAGAATCCATAAAAAAATCGACTAAATTAGACTGTATAAAATGATTTTTTTCTCATAAGAAATAATATTATTATATATTAAACTTATGAAATTTTCGACAATCTTGAAATTACAATTAAACGAATAAAATTATAAAGGAGTATAATTTTGTTCCACTTAGGAAAAACATTCGATAAAATTCCATTCGTGGATCAAAAATGAACTAGTGCAAGGAAACTAATGACTTCAACGTGAAGAACAAATAATCAAATCTGTCAATTATTTTGCACCACTGGTTTGATTCGATATCACGCCGAAATTCTAAAAATCACATAATACGTGCGTGAAACAAAAAAATGTCGTTAAAACATCGACAAATACTAGAAAAGAAAAGGCTTGATCGTCTCTTCTAAGCTTTCACTTATACAATCTCTCCAATCTTACCACATCATTGGCGCAGTCATTTCAGTCATAATAAAAATACCATGAAAAAGCATTTTTAAAACAACTTACGAAATACTTTGGAAACAATTTCATCGAGCGATGGTCGGATAGTTATGCTATAGGTATCGGCACTTTCTTCAAGAAGATCATCATCTCTCGTTGGTATTATAAACTTTCTTGAATCCATCTTGAATAAATATATGTAGAAATTGCTATGTTAAAGGGGAAAAAAATTAAAAATCGCTTCAAATTATAAATGATTTCGAATTATCATAACCAAAAATGAATTACGAAAAAGACTAAAAATAACTTTACTCTAAAAATAAAATAAATTTTATTTCAAAACAATGGTCATAAAAAAAATTGTGGTCATAAAGAAAATGGTCATAAAGAAAATTTGATAAAAAAAATTCCATCCAAAATTACGGCAATACCAATTACGCTAAAACGATAAAAAATAAAATCCATTTGAAATTAAAAAACGACAAATTACGCAAAAATTTTAAAAATTTTCATCAATTTTATCATTTGAAGAATTCATATGAAAAGTTGTAGAGTTTAAAATTAAATTATGTGGCGAAGATTTTAAACGACATCGACGAATAGTCGAATCAGAACTATAACCACAAGCGAAATCTAAGAAGGATGTATTGTGGAATGCAAGAAGTTCGCCTGCATGTTTATCTGAAAATAAAAGAGGAAAAAAGATTTATCGCGTACATCAGAAAATGGAAAAGTAAAAAGAGACAACACTAAATACTTTATATATATACATTATATAAACTTTACTTATACTTTTTAGAATTAACGAACTAACCTCGATCAAAGAAAAGAACCAGACCTCCAACGAAATTATGAGATCCTTTTGAAGTCCAAAAACTGTCCAAAAAATCCCTTTCAACCACTCCTTTAACAATTTCAAGTGGTAGTGGATTGTGCGGACTCCTGAAATCCTTGATAGCTTTGTAAATAAGATAAGTTAGATCCTAACTTCCAAATCAAGAATTAATTTGACTAGATAAGAAAAGATACTTGCCTTTTGAATAATGATGATGCTATTTTATATGCCAGGATATTTCTTGCAATCATTTCACCACTTCCTGATAATGCTACAGCAATACTAAGGTGTTCACGCTGTTCAGCCCATATTGCTCCTCCGACGTGTGTAGAATGTCCTAATCTCCCAGGTATCTTCATAAGAACACCACCACTAGAACAAGCAGCAAAGCATGTGCCATCTGCATTTACCTATAACCAAAAATTGGAAAAAAAATATACGAAATCCCAATGTATTCTAAAAACATTTTATAACAAAAATTGATAGATGAAAATAGTCCTATTGGCAAAATTGAAGTATCATCTATGAGTGTGTGCGCCCGAAAAAATTTATGATCTCTAAAATCTACCATATTCCATATCTCTCTCTATTCAACTCAAATACCCGCAAAAAATTTACTCTTTGTTCATTTACTATCACCCACTACTCACAAAATCTCCATTCTCATATTCAGACTCATTTAATTTAACTCCCTCAAAAATCCACTTATTTTAAGCTAGGTTTATTTAATTTATTTAACGAATCGTGCGATCCCATTTCAAATTTCCGTAAATTCGAAAAAGAAACCCTTAATACCCTCAAAATTCGTTTATTTTAAGCTAAAGTATCGATAACATTTTGAACTCCTTTCCACACTTTAATTCCCTTAGATCCAGCTGAAGCCGCTTAATATCACCAATTCCATTATCTCCTACTTCTCCATCATATTTCGCGGTGCACTGCTGCAGTCGCAATTACATATAATTAAACTGACATTATTAATTATATTTTAAACTATAAAACTGCAAAGGATAGCATAACGGTGAATGAGACAGAAAGTAGGATGAGTGGCGAAGCGTCTGAAAGGAAATAACGTGAATTTTGTGAGGATGACAGTGAATTAATTCGAAGAAGTATTACGGGAATATGATGAGTTTTGCAGGTATGCCAAAGATGTGTTCCAGTTTTAAAGTGATTCTCCCAGTCCGTAGGGTCAGGTATTTTTATTATAAAGTTATAAAATAAATATGTAAATACGAAGTAACCATATTCTTTTTCAACAATAAATACTTCTTATGTGCTAAATTACCAAAGAAATTTGAAATTTCTGATAAAACCACAGAATATCTATATAACAATTGTGACTATAATTCCCAATTTATTTACACATTTTGACGCTCACTGATACTGCACCAACTGTATCCATGCTGACTTCGGAAGGAGTTAGTTCGCGTTTGGCTGAGAGAAATTTGTTTGCTTTCTGCCAGACTGACTTAGCTTTATCAGATATCAAATCTTCTGGATCGCACATTTGCACTCCCATATTTTTGGCCCATTTTTCTGCACCGGTAGAGACCAAAACACATGGAGGTATCAAGCCATTTGGATCCACTATTTCTTGCTGCTTTGCAATAAGTGAAGCTGCGATAATCGGATTGCGAATATGAGAAACAGCACCAACAGCGCCGAACAATAACCCTCAACAATTTTATTAACAATTTTATTAACTTTAACTTATTTTTATTATTTTAACTTTAACTTATTTTATTTTATTTTATTTTATTATTTTATTTTATTAACTTTTGATTATTCTATTTATTTGCAAATTATAACATAATACTGACCTTGTGATGCACAATAAGCTGCTTCACATTCAACAACGCCATCTTGAGTCAAATTTGAACCATATGCGCAATTTATGAAAGCATGATCTTCGAGTATCTATAACTGGTATCCCTAAAATCTTTTGGAAGCAGTAGGTAATAATAAACAAATTTTCGAATGTCATTATGACGTCCTAAAGACCTTTATTCTTTTATAAACAATAATCAATTTTCACTCTTTTCCAACTTTCTCTAATATATTTCAGCGACTAAATGGTCGTCATTTTTAGTTAAAAGAGATAGAATGGCTTGTTTACATCGGCTCTGGTCCCGGCGGTTTGAGGTTCTACTCCTGGCAAGAGCAAACTATTCAAAAGCCCAGGTGATGCTGATGACTCACTTGTACTTCGATCGCCAAGTGAAAAAATTCCGACCGATAAGCCAGTGGAACAAATCTATGTGGAATGTCAGAATACTTATGGATGTAGAGGGCGATAAGCAACCACATCGTGTCTAAATATCATGTGAACATCGCTTACCTGCAGAATATCCGCTTTCCAGAATAATAACTGCACTTGATTCGAATAAGAACTACTGCTTGGTATAGAGTGCTGTTTCGGATAATTCAGACAGAAATAGAGTCAGCTCTAACCGTATGGAACTCTGTTGATGGTCGATTGCCTACTCCCTTTTGAGGACAAGTTCCGCATCTCGCTGTTCCTGTGGTATGCGCGTATAAAGATAGATACTAAGCCGAGTTTAACTTGGTAGGAACATCTCTTATAAAGGAAGGTAATCGTAATCGCAGAGTGCAATCGCCTTCGCTGCTTAGGCGTTCTTCGTCGCCCATCACATGAGTTGACGCATTTCGCTACTTGTTAAGCCCTGTGATGGATGGTGCTAAAAGCGAGGAAGGCCAATAAAGATGAAAATTCCGAATGCATAGAAAGTGAGATGGTTCGTTTAGGCGCTGGAAAAGCGTTCCGTGCAAATCGCCAGTGAAGCGGTCCAAACCAGCAGAGGTGCGAAGAAAAAGTTGAGTCAGTTTCGACACATGCGTAACGCTAGGCTTTTTAGGAAAACATAACAAAGCGGCTATCGCCTAAATTCAATTTCGACGTCTCCAATACGCCACAAGAGTATTCTTAAAAATTAATTTCTCACGCAAATTAATTTTTGAATCGATAATTCCAAATAAAAATCTGTCGAAAAAAAATAAAACAAACGATAATAGCATTGATAATATCGCCGTCACACTGCGATATCGCTTCAGCGCAGAGTTTGTCGCTACGAAACGACGATTTACCAACACCGCTGTGCAAGCCAATGAAAGTTCGATTCATCGATTAAGCCGAGTTGTTTTCGAAAAAACAAGAAAAAAATTAATTTGAAATTTGTCTGAATGCAAAAAATTTAAAATATTATGCTTATTGGATGAGGGCAACACAAAAGGAAAAACACTGATAATTATAAATGGACAAGTGGACAGGAAATATTCGTACAAGGAGACCAGAATGCATGGACTTGGGCAGTGGGAAAAGGAATGGTTTCTATTAATGGCTTCAGCGATGAAATCGGATGAGATCGCGCAGCTTCGCCTCAGCCTTGTGGCCAGTTGAGCCAGAAAGGACTGCTAGAAAGGGCCGAAAGGAACCGCGCAATCGTTTAACGACAGTCACTATTAGTCATATCGATAAGAGTGCCTGGCGGGTGTGACGAATTAGTGGGACCAACCCGAAACCGTAACCTCAGTGCTAAGTCTCTACCACTCCCATCACTCCCATACTTAAGGAAAATACACACTTTAATCAATGTTATTCGAAAAATCCTTTGCATCTAAAATGCAGCTTCAGCCTCTGTGTCTTTAGCAAGATTTGCAAAGCGTATCTCTGCACTGGAAGTGGGTTTTTAAAGAGTACTCACCGCCACTGATCAGCCCACTGAGCCATTCTCTTCCTTTGTTTTCCATTTTAAATGAGAGGAAAGCGCGGCCAGATTCGGAGCCAAGCCTCGATTCTCCTCAGTGGTGCGCGGTCAGATTCGGAGCCAAGCCTCGATTCTCCTCAGTGGTGCGCGGTCAGATTCGGAGCCAAGCCTCGATTCTCCTCAGTGGTGCGCGGTCAGATTCGGAGCCAAGCCTCGATTCAGTAGTGCGTATTGAATGTTTAAAGCAAATCAGAGTAAAGGGTTTTATTGTTCGAAGTGCGGTGAATTGCTCGACAGTTTGCAAAACTTCACTGAAAATGAGGCAGCCAGTAGGAGTGTGTCGAAGGACAAATTTTATCTTTACCGAAGCCGAATTCGGAATTAAACTTAGCAAAAAATTAAATCAGCAGTTTTAAGCGCAGAAGCTATAAACGGTGGAAATAGCGAAGCTGAAAAAGACGGGATTTCATGTACGCAGAGGAACGCTGGGGGCAGCTGCAGCTGCGGCCCGCGGCAGAACTGACCTTGCACCGACTGCACAATGAATAATATTCATGAGAATTCGGCAAATCGACCTCAGTAAAAAAATCGTTAAAACCGAAAATTTCCGCCTGCGCGAGTTTTCGATTATTTAAAGCCGAGCCGATCCAGATTGCCTTGGATGATTAGAATTCTGCCATATATCACAACTCATCCGATATTCTTTGCGAGAATTTTGAGAAATCGAATGATAAATTTAGTAAGCCGAAGTAGTAGCCTGAAGCCAGTAAGTGGGTTTTTAAAGAGTACTCACCGCCACTGATCAGCCCACTGAGCCATTCTCTTCCTTTGTTTTCCATTTTAAGTGAGAGAGAAGCGCAGCCAGATTCGGTAAGTAAGTTCGGTAAGTAACTAGACCGTCGATAAGGGAAATAGAATCTCGGCTGAAATTTATCGTTATTGTTGAATTTACTGTTGAGCGGAATAGCTTTGAGGTTCTTTTCAAACTGCGCCACAGGCTGCCATCATTCGGAAGGACCAACCAAACCGAGCTCTTCCATCAAATTTTAGCGAATTGAAATCGATTAAGAGAAATTTCTCTGATTGCAATGTTTTTGCGGGGTTTTATTCTGTATTTTAGGTTTCCAATACGACATCTTTTGTTTGATGAATTTTGATAAGTTGAAGATAATTAGGCTGATCTTTTGTGGCACTTCTAATTCGCTTCCATGGGAATTTTGTGCGAAAAGAAAAAACTTCAGAAATATTTTGACCTAGTTTTATGGCAATAAAAACCTCGAAAATGGCTCCATTCTTTTCTTCTACACATTACGATTTAAAATAAATTGGTAAAAAATGTGCTTGAAACAATTATTTTCATATTATTTAATTCAGATAAATCTCTGACAAAAGCTTTTTGCTATATACATATATGGCAGATTGTACAATATCAAAGATCTCTATCCAGAAGAAAGTATTGCTAGGAAGAGCTAAGATAAGATACTATGCTGAACCTTCAATTTTCTAGGCCTATGGTAGAGGACCTGGGGTTGATGGTGATCCTTACTGCTTACAGGAGGTAAAAGAAATTTTTTTATAAAGATTTTTCTGAATTGCTGTCATATTCTTGAGTTTTCACTAAATTTATTCATTTTTATTTGTGAATAACTGATTGAATCGCATTGTTTGCCATCTTGAGACATTGGAGGTTTTATCTTTAAGGTAACGTGAAGTCAATCAAAAGTCCAAACAGAAAAAAAATGGTCCGATTTTATAAATTTATATCTAATATATAGCACATAGACATCGCTATAGCCCACTGCTTCATGAGGAATTCATGAATTCGATCGGCAGTAGAAAAAGTTATGAGAAAAGATTTCTTAGTCGCGTTATTTTGTAAGTATTTTCTCCATTTGTTGGTGAGTTTGTGAGAGAATGTTTCCCATTTTTCCCGAATATTTGAATTTAACATAAATTCTGCAAATTTTTTACTCAATATGTTTTAGTTGCTGAAAATTCGGATATTTATTTTTAACCATTAGAGGAAATGTTTAACGAATGAATGTCTTCAACGATTTGAGATACAACATGAATACTGCGTAACTCTGCTGAATTTAGTGGCGGCAGATAGATTTCCCGACTGAACTGTCCATCGTGAACTTGCTGAAATTTGTCCTTGCGAGTTGCATTCTTCATTAGATCTTGTACTGAATCACTTTTAACTGCTTTAGTGTAATATGATTCACGATACAAATCATTCTCTGACTTCACATTATTCTTGTTCTGAAAGATACGAAGAAATAATTTTATGCTGCTTTGACTTATTGTTAAAGAATTAAATGTATGTATATCAAAGAAATCTGATATTTTTCTAGTCAATTTCTTTATTTTTTAACAACGTTTTGCGGAGATTATTTCTTATATTTTCTGGTAGAAGATTTACAAGTAGATTTGGAATATGCAACAAAGTAAACGATTCTTCTGATAGAGAATAGGCTTTCCGTGCCTTCATATGGTTTCTTCTCGACGCAAGGAACGCTTTTTTCGCCTTAAAAAAACAATTTATCGGTACTGACAAATCATAATAAAATAAAAAGGAGTGAGTATATATTATAAATATTAATTCTAAAAATAAATTCAGAGAATTATAAACATAAATTAAATTGTCGAGAACGAAAGGTGAACTACGATTACTACGTATTTTGTAAGCAGATTTTCGCTTTTTTAAAAGTGAAGCGGCCGTCGCCATAACTTTGCACCTTATAGATGGCTCCATAGTGGTTCCATCCTTTAACCGATGCACTAAAATGAATTAGTGCCAGCTGGCGATGCATTCGGTTCAGCATTTGCAATCGTTCTTTCTTAAGCATGCTGAAATTTCACTAAGATAACTTCCTTATATGGTTTAATTTAATTTTATTATTTGCGCTTTTGAATTCATTTCATATTCAGTTACATAACATGGTGTCTCGCAAAAAAATTTTGCAGACTCAATCAATTTTCTCTCGAAAAATTTGCTGTAATGTTACGAATTTGCGAATTTAAATAAATTCTTCGCAGTTATCAACCATTTTTTTACGCATTATATAAATGAGTCCTGCGAAACTGCCTTTTTTTATTAATGAGTTCCAAATAATCAAAATAATCAAAAATGCGCGAACTTTGCGCAAGTATAATGGCCATTTTTAGCAGCCAACTGTTCAGCAGTGTATCCCATCAAATTTTTTGCTCGAAACAGATCAAAGCTCCACTGTTTTGTTAGAGAAGTTACCAATAGTGCAACGATACTTTTTTGACCAAATATGGCCGCATACATTAACGCTGTATTGCCTAAACGATCTGATCGCTTGAGATCCACTTTCAACTGGAATTTCAAAGTCTAGACTGGACAAATATCATTTGATTTATCGTTAATTAATTAATCTTTAATTCATTCAATTCGATCATTAATCCTTTAATATTGCTTTCTTTCTTTCATTTTTCTGTTCTAATGAAAAACCTACAATGTTTGTAAAATTTCTTTAAAATTTGTATAAAATCCAATCTCAAAATGAACACAGACAATGGTATCTTCAAGATAAACAATTTCGCAAATTGATAATTTGCATTTATATCGAAAAATTCTGTCACCGGATGTTCTAAGAGATCCAGGCAAGAGGAGAACTCACTTGAAAATCTGGCCGGAATCGTCATAATACCAAGAAGTGGAAGATCAAAAAGCTAAGTGATTCTTGCTTATTTTATCGTATAGAGTAGCCTGGCTGGTCTTTATTCCTAGCAAGAATAAGTTTCTTCTTGAAAGCCGTTTTTTCTTCTTGTTTCTTCTTGCCATTAAGAAATCGCTTTGGTGCTGCTGAGCCATATGTGCTCCAAAATAACTCTCGCAAAAATTTCTCATCTCATTAATAACAAATGAAACGAGCCAGAAATGTTGCTAGCCAACATCTATTTGAAACCAAAAAAGATTGAAGATATTTTCTCACTGATCTTTTTTTGAAAGTCTTCATTAGGTAAGATTTTTAAAAAAAATCTATTTCCTTAAGCATTCAAACGTTAATGAAATCTAATTACGCACATGCTTTGTCGAATTGTTATTTGCCTTATAAAACCTATTGTAATCGCTAAGCACTTGAAAAACATTCTAATTCATGTCCGGACAACTTAATCTCAATAGACTCTCAAATTCAGTCATTCTTCTCCTTCTAATTAAACTACTGCTACGCTATGACGAGTGCGCAAAAGCCTTCATCTAAAAAGGTAGAACCCAGCTGATCACTGGTCATTTCTTGTGTAGCTGTTTAATCTATTGCCATATCTCGTAAGAGAAATCAGTTTGAATGATTTTTCATTAATTCTCTAATTTTATTGTCCATTTCTTAGTGCTTTTTCGGCGGGCCACTTTTTATTTTGAAAGATTTTCTCGAAAAATCTCATTCTCTTTGTTTATGCAATATTTGGGAAGAAAAAATGAGGAATGGTTCGATTTGATTATCATTTCGAGTACTGTGGTCCGTCCTTTGACTGGACAGAAGTCAAAAATAGTATAAAGACAAAAATGAAAACCTGTGATGCTGAAGGACAAACCTATTCTCTTATCACAAATAACTCATTAATAAAACTGTCTCCTACTAAAACTGTCAGTTGAAAGAACCGATAAGAAACGATAAAAATAATAAGTTGAAATTTTGAAAAGCAATTTTGAAAAGCATTTATTATAATATAAATCGATTCATTTCACCAAAAAATATTATCAGAGAAAAATGAAATCTATCCATTCAACTAACCTCGATGAAGAAATGCACAAGTGGTTCATTCTTAGCGATACAAGCAAACATTAAAGGTGTTCTTTTATGTTTAAGATCAGGTTCTGATGCATCACATCCAGCTCTTACTAATAAATTTAAATATCGAATCTTAAAATATAAAATTATCAAAAATGGAAAAATAATAATCATCGTACTTGTTCTCAATTGATAGTTCCTTTCATAAGCTATAAATAATGTGATCTATCGTATCCATAAGTAATAAATTCCAAGCCAAAAAACAAAAGGTAAAAAAATAATTTAAGAATAAGGGAGATTATTCAAATGAATCCATTTTTCTCTGCTTTTTAATTTACCTTAAAATTGTATTATCCTGTTAGATGATGATATTTTTTAATGAAATTTAGACCAGTCTTCAATAGGAATAGTTTCTTATTTAAAAAATCCGGGTGAGCCGCACATACTTCTAGCAAACGAATCGCTAGCAGAAATTTCTAGCAGCCAGCAGATCAAGCTAACTAGAAATGGTAAGCGCTAAATCTTTACTTTGTACTCAAATAAGAATAATAAAAAGAATTAAGAATATAAGTTGACAATAAAGGGCATGATACCTGAACTGTAATGTCTGATATATATTTTACAGTTGCAATAATAAGCGTTTCTCCTCGACCACTTCTTTCATTTGGATTAAAGTTCATATGTCTACGATAGAGTTTTTCAGGCAAAGTTATATTACTGCTCTGCTGAAAAGATTTAATAGAATACCAGTATATACAACACTAGCGAGACCTCTACTGGACTAGCCTTGAATAAGAAAATGTCTGCTCGAGTAGTAGTAAATTATTCCATCTTCTTCCTAAAGTGACCATGACTCAGAAAATGTTCAGTGAAATATTTTGGGACAACAATGAGCCTGTTAAGGCTAACGAAGACGCCTTGTATAGTGGCCATAATTCTTTGATGACAAATATAAACATGGTACACCATCTGCTACTCCAGATTTAGTCGGAACGCTCACGGAGCTAAATATTTGCCAATATTCGCCAAAGGAGCAAGAAATAGTCTCTTCTCTGTCGTATATTTAAGGTCAATAGAGCTCCTGGAAGTGTTCTTTAGGACGAAGTCTTCAAACACTGTTCAATTGCTCACCGTGCTTCATAACTCATGTTTAATAGATCTCTCTGATATGAAAGAAAGGACCAATACCATATAGCTGAGTAACGCAATTCTGCTCCAAATCTCTAGGAAGAGTGGTAAGACATGCTGTCACAACTATCGAGGAATTAACCTGTTAACTCTCATCTCTGTGAAAATTTCCACTTCTTATTGCTGAATACAATTATGGTAAAAGTCAAGAAGATGCTAACCAAACTGGTTTTAATCAAGGATAGACATGATGACCAAATATTCACGCTTAGAAGATTATTGGCTCCAAGTATCGGCAACCCACTGTTATTTCATCGATCTTTCTGTTATCTTCAATTCAATTGATAAAGTAGCGCTATGGAAGGTGAGTGCGACGTTCCAGAGATCTAACTCACTAAATCATTTAAATCATCAAGGGCACTTTACAAGCGTACCTCTTCATAAGCCTGCACATGGGGAAGATCTTTTCGAAATAAGAATTTGTACACACAGGCTGCGTCATTTCTCTTGCAATGTTCAATTGTACGATTGGCTAGATTATGGACAATGCTTGAAGGTATTCAATGGGTCAATCCAGAATACAAAAGTGATGGTGTAGTCCTTTTTGGTGACCGTTCCGAAAGAATGCAAAAGATGCTAAAGATGTAGAGATGCAAAGATGCTAAAGATGCAGAGTACAACTCAATTTAAGATGAATTTAAGATGAAAGCCTTTTCATCCTATTAGCATCTGATCATAACATATTAAGTTTTAGTAGTTTACCACAGTTTGAGGAAGTGAAAGTTTCTTTAAATAGCTTGAATCCAGTATTATACGAAATTGTCAGATTGCAGCATCCTGATTAATAGCAGCTAGAAATTCTTTTTTTCATTTGGTGAAACATCTATTGAATCACCGCAAAATCAAAAAGAAATTCCGCATATAGCTGCAATTCGCTCGATCTTGGATTGCAAAACATGGCCAATAAGAGTGGAGGATACTAAGAAGCTATCCACTTTGACCACTTCTAAAATATGTTTTGCTTATTCGCCTAGCGGACAAAATGCTAAATTATTGCATCTTTATTGAAACACTATCTGTATTCAAAATGTTATTATAGAGTGAAAATATACTGGTCAGCTAAAAAATGAGCAGAATCGATAAATCGATTGAGGGCCAATCAAAGCGTGGCTGTTCGCATTTTTTCTCCTTTTTGGGCACGATTTAATTCGATTTTTATTGGTGGATGAGTGGTGGGCTGAGGGTAGGTTAAAAATTTTGTTAATATATTTAATGTAATTTTTTTAGTTGAATTTTTTGTTTTATAATATATCGTCGTCTTGAGTTTGGCAATAGTGAGATATATGACAATTCCGCAATGAATGGCGAAGAGTATAGCTTAACTGTAACAAGAAAAAGAATCAAACTTTTTTTCCGTTATATTATCATAATTATCATTCGATGTTTATCTCATACTCAAACTTGGGTAATTAAACCTTTATTTAGATAACAATATAACATGATAAAATTAGACGACGATGTTGGATGGCACCGGGAAGCGAGGAGAACCAATCAAGACCTAGTGTGGGCAATCAGAAGAAATTTTGAGGAAATAAGCGGTCCAGCTATATATGGACACAGTAGAAAAAAAGGTGGCTTTTAATATCATGCATGGTATCGAAATAAGCGATCTAGAGGAGCCTTACCCCTGTAGCCAGCGGAGCAAGTCTAACCACTAATGGCAACAATTTTTTAGAAGAAGATACCAACACAAAAAACTCAAGATGACAATTCAGTATTCAATATTAGCGTTAGCATATGGCATGATTTAATTGCTCATCTTCTTCAACAATGCACTGGAGAAATGCTTCTTCTCAGCAAATACTTTTCAGCATTTTAAGCTTATCTAGCTTGATTGGCTGCAGACCATGACTAGGATTAGTAGGGTTAGCAGGATGAATGAAACCTTTTCGCTCGCAGTTATTGTAAATGGAAATGTAAATTTACCCGTAGAACCATTTGGATTTTAGAGCTTCCTGCGAGAGACAAAGATACTTAATGTCAGTTGAAGAAATATACCAGCTTATTAATATTTTTATATATATATATATATAAGTTTTCTTCAAATTAGTCGTTTTTTATGATAAGATTTTTAAAAATAATCGAGCAAAAAATGATAAGCGAAAAATGAAATAAAGTTTTGAAAATTTAAAAAAATCGAAATTATGATGAACCTGGCCAAGCGTTGATCGCATCCGTAGGATATTTATGTTCATGTTTAGCCACCTTTCGCAGGATAGTGCAGTACCATCAGATTTAGATGATGATATTTCTTGCATGATCTCTTAGCATTTCATCTATACATTGAATAGCTTTCCATTTAAATAAAAATTGGCTTGCTTTGCCTGCTTACCAGATCTATTCTATCAAAGTTGTGTGAAAACTGCGTAAGATTTATAGATACCTCATTTATTCACTATAGCATTATTTTGCAGATAATTATTAAAATTATATAAAAATTTTTTTATCAGCGAAAATTTAAAAAACTTTTCGATTTCGATATTTAGATATTCAACATTCTGATGCGTAATTATCAAAGAATATTGAATATGAGAACCGCAGTCTTCTGAGACGTTTTTAGCTTTACGTTTTGACTGCTTTGACTTTTGAAAGAAGTTTCGTCAACTTAAGCAGAATCGAATTATGCTATGATTGCTTTTCATGCTTATCAATAATAATAAATTCTGAATTAAATTTCATGCTGACAAGAGTTTGGCAATGTTCAATGTTTTTTTTAAAGATCTGGAATTTGAAAAAAATAGGACGAATACTCTAAAATATGCTAAATTGGACCCATTGGAAGGATTATTTTTCATGTCATTACTGTCTAATTTTATAAATGTAAAATACATAAAATATCTGATATTCCTTGATTTCATATTTTGCACTTCAAATCAAAAATTTCATCGCAAATTAATTTTCTTGTAATAATATTTGATAAAAAGAAAATTAAAAATCTTCATGATAGTAATAATAATAATATTAATAAATAATAATATCAGTAGCCTTACCGCAAGAAAAACCTAATTCAATCTTGCAATCAATGAAAATTTGAATAATTAAAATGAATGGATTCAAGAGAGCTGAAGTTTAGCTAAGTATGGAGCTTAGTGAACCTTGATAGGTGCAAATTATCGATAAAATATACGAGAAAATAAAATTTTTGCTCGAGAAAGATTTCACTGAACAAATCTCCGAATAAAATTACTTGTGTCGCGATAAGCAAAAATTGAACAAAAGAATTGAATTATGTTTGTGAGAACTTAAGTGAAGGCAACAATAGATTTAAAAACAAATTTCAATTAGTAATTACAATTTAATAACTCATTAATATAACTTCATAATATAAAGTAATACTAAATAATGAATGTCGTTGACGATTACTGATCAAATACAAAGAAATTTAAAAATTCATTTAATCCATTTCCATTCAAAATTATCATTATAATTACCTTCAATCAGCTTCATTCACAATAATATAATAACAAATGTATAATAGTAGTTAGGTTTGAAAGATTTTGAAAGGGCTTCTTCCGAGAGTCCTCGAAGCGAAAATTATTTTCATGGTGCTATAATAATACAACAATATTCAACAATTAACAATTTAAAAATTAATGTTGTTTATATCGCAATAAATATCGCAATAATCCAAATAAATAAAGGTTCTAAGAAATTCTCAAAAATTTTTTGTGATCACCAAAGGAGTTCGTCAAAGAACACAGAGTTTGAGAAACAGTTTTATACAATGCAAAGCTCGAAATGGCGTAGTGATAGTGATTGTCTTAAGGCCTATTCCGCTTTTATAGAGTGGGAACCGCTAAGCAACCGTACGACCTATGCTTGCTTTAAAGGTAAATTCTGCAATATCTCGGTCATAAGTGTCTATGCTCCAAATTGTCGACAGATGACCGTGATAAAGATAATTCCATGCGGAGCTTCAACTACTAAAAAAGTCTCTACCAAAACATGACATGGCCATAATCGGGGAAGACTGGAATGCGCGCGTGGGTCATAATGACGCTGTGATTATCTCGACAATTGGCAATATGGCATCTGAGACTAGTGCGCCATTGGGCCTTCTTCGCTATGCCGAAGAGTGCTTTTCGGTTGCTTTCGATTTAATTGATAGAATGGTGCTTTGGTGTGATCGAAAATCAGAGAAGAGGATCATTCGACTCATAAAAGTATTTTGACAGCGTACGTCAGAGCAGGTCTATATGGGGACTGATAGACTCCTTGGAAATAGGAGCTGATGTCCATAAAGGCTGCATCTTTTCCGCTATAATATTGAATTATGTGATAATGGACACCAGCCCATCGGCACTCAAAAATGTACAAATCAATCCATGGCATCGTATCACAGATCTTGAATACGTTGATGGTTTATTCATTTTTGTTGACTATTATGGCGAAATAATAAACAAAGTGTGGACAAATGCAGCGAGATTCTTCGATACTACTTAATGTAAACAGTGTAAACAAAAACGAACGTCTTGTCGTCTTACTGATAAAATGCCTCTTTCTTATTTATTGTCGGTTGAGGAAATGTACGATTTTAAATACCTTGGATACAATCTAATACCGAATGGCCAGCAAAAGACGATATTACCCTGATTACGGCAGCAGAAATGCGTTTATCTGGTTGATGAAATCTTTATGGAGCCGTCGTTCTATTAAAATACCCTTTTTCTATTGTCCTTTCTAATTCCATTTTTTTAACTTTTCACCTCTTAAGTCTATATAATGGGGTACGAAATTTACCTATTTTGTCCTGTGGAATGGTTTCCAACTGGTGATTATTGATACCTTATTTGTTTATCGTTATATAATTATCGCAGTTTTCATTCATATCGGCATGAAACATTGCTGACTTCCGTGGCCATTTATTCTTTTCCTGTGATTTTATTTTCAATAAAAAAATTTCAGTCTCACACCTTTTCATATTTAAAACAATCGTTAATTAACCTGAAAAAATGACTTCAAATGCGATCTTTGTCCAAAATGTCGTCGATTAGAGCCAATAGATTTGATAAAGGAATTACTGCTTCCGGAAGTATTATTGGATGAACGAAAGATGCTATGGCTACGAGTTTTAAATGCATTTGCCTTACGAATTGGCGACATCCCAAGAAACGACATCGGAACACATACTACTGGCCTGAAAAATGTTCTTTTCCTAATTATTCCAAATACGCAAGCAGGAGTGCAGCTATATTTATCTAATGTTTGCGTCTGAAACAGTAGTTTAAAAAAATTCCATGCGAAATTAATTAAGCACGAAGCACAAAAGAAGAGAAAAATAACATTTTTTGTTCCCGCATATGGTTTAATTGAGGTCGTGCTTGACCACTCTTCCAATGCAATTTTTGTGCAAAAAGTGAACGAAAGGCACGACGAAAATTTTCCGCATTTGTCGCATAAAGAATTGGATTGAGTGCACAATTAACATATGGAAAAAGATGAATGATATTAACGATAATACGCATAAACTGTGTTTGTATGCGCAACTGGAAGATCGAACTAACCGTATTAAACAACCAAAAAGGTGACCTGAATTTTAAGAAAAGAATGATTTCCTATTCACGGAATTGCTGCTCTCAATATTTTATTCATCCAACTAATTCTGAAATATTTTGATTGATCAGCTTTAAGTTTGTTGAACATTATTGAATTAAACCAATTTTTACTGAAATCAACGATAGGAATTAGTTCTTTTCCAAAAATTCAATTCAAATAAACAAGTTGAAATAGAAATCGGCTTGAAATAATTGAAATAGAAGATTGAGTTATTCTAGTTTCATCGTTTGATTAACCTTTCCATATAAAATAATGACCCACGAAAAGAGTCAGTCAAATGACTAAATCAACGATAACGTCTATCATTTAATTTTTGGCAATTTATAATGGAATATTTCAGAATATATAAATGTGTCTATGATAAACATATTCGATATCTGATAACAGTGAATTTCTACAAAACAGTGCTGTAAAATTTAAGGAAAAAAAAATTTCGCTAGGCCTTACATCATTACATTTATTCTTATTTTTACTTATGGTTCAAAGCATTTAGCATTTCCGACTAAAATGACTTTTTTAGCAAACAATACGTACACATATGTATGTATGATAAACATATTCGATATATGATAACAGTGAAGGCATATAACTATTTATTACGTTTATTTACATCGATTTAATTTGTCGTTTCATATTTTATACCTTTATTGCCCCTAATTCATAAAGAAGCGTATGACCATTATTGATTGGGCTGCTTTCATTGATAAAGAATCGTATAGTTACAGATTGCACATCCCCAAAACTTAGGGGTTTTTGTTGATAGTTACTAGTTACTACGGAATGCAAATAATGTTAAATAATGTGTCAACAACTGCAGCGAGAATTGGACTCAAAATCAATGTAAACAAAACGAAAGTTTTCTCTTATATAGATGCTGATAAAATATCTATTTTTATCAATTCATCGCCGCTTGACGAAGTGCCCGACTTTAAATATGTATCCACTCAAATGCCGAATGGCCATTTCTGATTGAAGAAATCTTTATGGAGCCGTTGCGAGATCACCGTAAGAACCAAAGACTTTGTCTATATAGCCGCGGTTTGTTCGATCTTGCTATATGGCTGCGAGACATGGCCAATGAGAGTGGAGAATATTAAGAAGCTATTTGCCTTTGACCCCATGTTTAAGATATATTTTACTGGTCCGTCGGATAAAATCTCACCTGGTTGTACCTATTTTCACTCAAATACCACTTGTATTAACAGTAGCATCACAGAGCATCGCCTTTGCTGGTTGAATTCTCCGTCGTCCACCACAGGAATTAATATATAGCCAATTACTAAATCCTAAATCTTGTGTGGCCTCAAAAGCGATGAAGGTCAATGAAGACTTGGACTGATATAGTCTAAAAAGACTTTGAATAGGAGGACAGCGATAAATGGACTTAGGCGATGGAAAAAGGAATGCCTATTACTACTAGCGATAGCGCGCCGAGCAGCTTGGAGACATCTTAGCCTTGTAGCCAGCAGAGCTAGCTTAACCAGTAATGGTGAAGGCTATTAGAAGAAGAAGGGATAACGGGAAAATGCAGTAAGGATCGAACATATGATGCTGGGCGCATAGCAGGACAGCCATTCCATCCGACTACTCTTGCCTATGCTCTAGATGAATATTCTTTTATAGAAAAATAGACTATAAATCTCACCAACATATAACATGAAAAACAACGATCCATAAAACGAGTCGAGTAACGCGATGGTAAGGAGCACGTGAACTCGAATGACGCTGCATTCGTTTACTACTTATTACTGCTTCTCGCAACTTTTTCAAAATATGATAGTAGAAAAACATTATAAAGAAGAGCGGTAAAATAAAAATGATTATGGATGAGAAGGCTATGTACCTGGAATTATAGTATTGAAATTAAACGCTTATATTAATAAATTCGAGTGATAAAATCTAGGAAAATGTTCGCAATTTTTTGTCTTTTAGAAAAATTTTGGTGAAAAGAAGTGAAAAAATATTTCTCGGTCTTGCTATATTGTCAAAACTTACCATATTGCACTTGATGATGATGGCCACTTTGCTATGCATAGCCGATGCATTTTACCAATCTGCATATGGATAACTACAACCTCAGAATATATATAAAGTGGTGCTGCTCCACAAAATGCAATAATCCATGCACATAGACTAGCTACAAAAGCGGTATAATAGTTGCGATAACGAGGACAAAAATCGGTACGGCACATCGCGCAATATCGATCCGCTGCTAATAGTACAACAAACATTACACTTGCATATTTACCTGTAAACTTTGGGAATTAAGTAATATGAAAAAGTCGTCCTAATCGTCAATGAAGCCAGATAAACCAGAAATGATGAATGCTGTTAGATGAAAAAGGTGAAAAAAAACCAAGGAGTTTGACTGTACCTGTTGACTCGGTACCATGATAAAGTGTGCACACTGTAGAACCAAAAACCCACGACCGATTATTGAGTTGAGCGGCAGCAACAAGTGTTAAATTGATAAGATAAATAAAATCAGCTGAACAAAGGCCAACCATATATACATTAGTGATTGATCTCATATATGGTTTAATGACTATTAGTATAATTACAAGCAAATTGATCATACCAATCGAAACTAATGATAAGTGAGCTAATGTAAGTGCAAGACGAAGGTGATGAATGAAGTTCTCAGATGTTCCATTCATATTAATTTATATCGGTTACTGCTTGCGAATTAGAGTCCAATAGGCCTTTTGATGATATTAAATGAACAACTTTTCTCCAGTGAAATAACAAAAAGAAGAATGAAAATCTAATTTAATTATAGTAATTCATATTTTAATTCATATTTTCCAGTAATTTTGCAGATGAGTTGCGGATTTCTACCTGTAAAAGTGGTACAAAAGTAAACAAATGGTACATTTTGACCACTTTAGTTAATTATGTTCGCAGGCGCATCCATCTAATGATAATTTTTCAGATCGAAAAAAAAACAGTTCTCTTTTGTTTCTCCTTTGAGCTCTTTTATTTATTTTAAGATATAGCAATTTCTTAGCTCTTCTTATATTCCTTATCAGTATAATATTAATATTAATTAGAAGTGCAACAAGATAGCCCAGTGTATACTGACTAGATTACTATTTGAGGTAACAGATAAGTTAAAAAATCTGGGTGATGCTGACGACTCACGTATGCATCTACTGTTTTATAAGCGATTTATAAATTCCTAATTATATTAACAGCCAACGAAATCTGCATAATAAGAAATGGCGAGTAAAAATTTTATTAAAATTAAAAATTTATTAAATTTATAAAATTAATTTTAAAACTAAAAATTAAAAATTTGCTTAAAACAATGAGGCATTTCAAGAATTTAGAGAATAGAGTTAGGTTTAAAAGAATACTGACTCGTTGCAGAGTGAAAATTTTCAAAAGAATTAAAATGAAAGTGGTAAATTGCAGTTCCGACCATTTATTCATGACAAGACAAATAATTTAATAATTTAAAAGACAGAGTAGCCAAATGATTACTGCTTGGATTATCATCCTGGATTGGATCTTGTCTCTAGTGTAAATCTGCTGCTAAAAATCCAACTGGTCGTCCAATCTATTCTTCCATAAATTCCTTGGCACTACTTTTGAATAATAATTAGTGAAGCCAGATTTATTATAATTTAGACAATCGCCATTGGAAAAGTTCCTTACCAGATAGTCGTTCTTACCGCTAAAACGGGCAATCTTCTGACCATGTTATGGTTCGAGCCAAAATCCGCATAAACTGTTAACTCGCAGAAATCTCCCAAGATTCTTAAACTGTCTTTCCTTAAACTAAAAAATTCGGGGACAGTGAACGAATTAAACCGAATTTCAAACCGAATTATTGAAGCATCTCAGTATCTCAGTGATACAAATATCAATGATTTTTCTGGAGCGGCAAATAAATACTGATCGAAACTAAAGGAATGTCTCCAAAAATCAACCACTTCCACGCTAGGGCATACTAGTAGGAAGTAGTGTATCGAAGTTGTGTATTGGAAGCAACTGTCCAAAAGTCGGAAAAAGCTGCCAAAGCACGAATGTCAGGTCTGACTATCGAGTGCTTCGATGATTTGCAACGAAAGCAGCAAGGCGGAATAAAAATTTCTATTGGAGTGACATGGCCTCAAGAATGGATACGGCGGCTCGTTTAGATGATAATAGGAAACTATTCCGCTTTCTTCACAAAGCAACTATAATTCGGGGAACGATCAGTGAAATGGTAAGGGACATCAATGGCGTGCCAGTCAAGAGTATTAAGGATCGCCTCATAAGATAAAAAGAATTCTTTGAGGCCAAACATAACCATGAAGCACCATCTATTGCCCCTGATATAACTGATACGTTTGCTGAACCATATGCTTGCAAACCCCCGAAGAAGGAATAATATCTATTATCCATAAACTTAAGGCCAATAAGACGCCGGAAGAAGATGGTCTTCTTGCTGAACTCTTTAAATGTTGTCCATCGTCCTTCATAACGCACCTTCAACAAATGCATGTTTGGAAAGAAGAGATATCACCAGATGACTTAAGTAAAGACTGATTGCAGTTCTACTCCCCATTCTCAAGAAAGATGACAGGACACATTGCGACAATTATCGAACAATCAGCCCACTAGACGTCTTAAAAAATTTTTGCTTCCCTTTTACTCAACAGACTTATGGAAATACGGCATAGCAAGATGTGCCCTAATCAAGCTGGATTCAGATCTGGGAGCACTTGTACTGACCAGAATTCATGTTTAAAAGGATGTTGGAACATCGCTTCAGATATTTGCAACCCACTGATACGTGTTTCATCGATTTTGCGGCTGCCTTTGATTCAGTCGATAGAGCGGCGCTTTGGAGGGTGATGGAATGTGACGGTGTTTCAGAAAAGATCATTCAACTCATAAAAGCATTTTATGAGCGTACGTCGGCGCAGGTCAGGGCTGCGCCCTTTCCTTTACAGTATTCAACTATGCGATAGACTGGATAATGGACACTGCTTGTCGGCACTCAAGAGATTTCCGAATTAGTCCAGAGCATCGTATCACAGATCTTGAATACGCTGATGATGTAATCCTTTTTGCTGACAATTATAACGAAATGCAAGTAATGCTAAATAATGTGTCAGGCAATGTAAATAAAACGAAAGTCTTTAATCGTCCTATATGCAAGAAGCTGATAAAATGCCTCTTTTTATAATTTCTTTGCCGAATGAGCATGTACTCGATTTTAAATACCTTGGGTCCACTCTAATACCAAATAAACAGGCAAAAGATGATATTATAACTCGGATCACGGCTGCTAAAAATGCGTTCTTCCGATTGACGAAACCTTCATGGAGCCGTCGTGAAATTACCACAAAAACGAAAGTTCGCATCTATATTGCCATGATCCGTTCGATTTTACTATATGGTTCTGAGACATGGCCAATGAGAGTGGAGGATATTAAGAAGTTAGCAGCCTTTGACCACTCTTGTCTAAGGTATATTTTACGGGTTCACCGAGTGGAGTGAAATCTCATAAGATCGACCATCCACCTTTGTTCAAATACCACTTGCATAAATAATGTTATCACAGAGCGTCGCCTTCGCTGGTTAGGGCACACCACAGGAGTTGACGCATATTTCGTTATTTGCTAAACTGTGTGAGGGTTGGCGTCAAAAGCGAGGTGGGCCAATCAAGACCTGGACTGATACGGGAGAAAAGATTTTGAAGAATATAGGTGGACCAGCAATATATAGACTTAGACGATGGAGAAAGGAATGGCTTCTATTACTGTCGACAATGGCATCAGACCGTGCCGTTTGGAAGCATCTTACCCTTTAGCTGTTTGGAGCCAATCTAACCAATAATGGTGAGAGTTATTAGAAGAAGAAGAAGAAAAATGGAGCCAGAAATGGTGAACGCTAATCGTTTACTGATGTTGAGGTTTTTAGAGTCGAAAAAGTTGAAATAAACCGATGAAATTTATTAATTCTCTCGACAATGAATAGAAAAATGAACTGAAAAATTTCTCAGCTCATATATCGATATATCGATAAAATAGATTTTCAGTTTTTTAGTATTCTGCATTTACTAATTTAATTATATTATATATATGTTCCAAAAATTTCAGTGCATTGATTACGTGACTATCAAAATCTTTAGTTGTGACCGTTGTTTCCATAGATATAATGCATAAATACAGTGATAGCAGTATCTATGACTTCACTGTTAGCAAAAATCACTTATTTTTTTCAGTGACATTTTTCCCACTGTATTTTATTGTAAATATTTATACGCATAATTTTTTTCCAGCAGTTCTCATTAATATTAGTTAGACTGTGCAGACGACAAGTGTTTCCAGACCACTCGATCTAATGTCATGTTTATGAATAGATCCATATCACTGGGCCATATATGCCTTCAAAATCTTTTCTGGCTATATCAGTCCACGTTTAATTGGTCCTCATTTTTTTCCATCCCATCCAAAAAGCGAAATATATATCAATTCTTGCGATTGGTGAAGCAGAACATTGGTCAAACCAAAGATTACGAAGATTTGTGGTTATGAAACGATGTTGTGAAAGAGAGGTGACTTCAATCAAACGAGATTTTACGCTCTTCCATTCTCATTGGTCATGTTTTGCAATCATATTATTACCATATTACAAGGTCGAGCGAACTGCAGCCACATAGACGCAGACTTTCGTTATAACTTTAATCTCGATTCCAAAAACGTTTGACCTAATAATGGAACGCTTTTCTAACTGAGCTGAAATTTCCTTTTTCACCTGGATATTTAGTGTGAGTGTATGCAAGATATTTAGTTAGGCATTTCCTCAACTTGTGATGAATTAATAAAAGCTATTAGCAAAAAATGCTTACGTCATCGACGTATCGTGAAGAACTGTGATATTATGCTCTGGACTGATTTGTGCACCTCTTGAATGTCGATAAGCGATGCCCATTATGCTTCTATCACACAGTTGAATATTGTAGGGTAAAAGGTAAAGTAACAGCACTCATCGCTCATAATAGTTACAAATAATAATTCAAAAACTTCGATAAAATCGAAAAAAAATTACGAGAGTACCAACTGCAAATTTGTCGAACTTGCATTTATAAGAGAATTGTAGAAGCAAGAAGAAAATTGGAAGAATCGAAATGTGAGTGCAGATAAAGTAACAATAAAAAATAAGTTTTCTGACTCTCACAGTTTTAGATTAGACTCACTCCACTGGTTATTAGTAGGATAAGATGCTAGAGTGCCAATCGCGAATAGTGTTTTCGATGTTTCATTAAACACTTAATGAGTTCGAAAATTTAATAATATATGATTTATAACTATGGATTTAAAGTAATTGCTCTTAGATAAGATTGGAAAAACTTTTTTAAAAATCATCGGGATAATTTTTCGATTATTTCATTCCCTGAAAATAAAAAAAATATTAAAGATTCCAAGTATTGGCGACTGATTTCATTGACATATTAATGAATCTGATTGGCGCTGAATACGATTTGTAAGCTACCATATGAATGGGACGTAGTGGAAGGATAAATGGAAAAATTATATTGAATTAACAAATAATAATAAAAACCAAACAATTGAGTGAGGAATAACTAAAATGAAACGAATAATGATAGCATTTACAAAAATTAGACTACTGTAATGCAGCTTGAAACGAGAGAAGAATAGACCACATTTATTTCCATGTAAGAAAGGTTGTTGCTTAGATTATAG